CCGGGATATTGAATGGTGGAAGGCGTTGAATGAGTTTGAGGAGTTAGACTAAATGTGAGGAGGGTGAATATAAACGTTTAAATTTAGTGGGACAGAGGAGCATACTGTACCGAGAGGGCTGTCCAGTATATAGTTCGAAAAGTTGTTGGATAAGAGACACAACAAAGGGTGGTTTTGATGGTGTTGCATGTGTTGCGAAGAGGCGTTGTAAGTAAATGAGATGGAGGGCAGCATATTGATCTTTGATGTCAACGATGCTGAGTCCACCCTGGGAATCAATCATTAATAATAAATCATTTAAGGCTTTATCATTAAAAGATTTATCAATAAATTCTGCTAAGACAAAAAAATTGGAAATTTTTTTATAGAGAATTTTTAAAAGGATATAAGTTACTTGTTCCTTGGACAAGTAACCAAGCCAGTACGTGCGTAAGTCAAGGACTTAAGCACTTGGAGGAGGAGAGCAAGTTACTACTGTAACTTAGGTATCCTCATTACCATTCCGGGGGGTTGTTTTAATCTATAAAAGATATAACGTTTAATCTTTAAAGGTTTTAATCATTAAATGATTTATCAATTAAAAGAATTAACATTATATATTTTTAAACTATTAATCTTTTAAAGTTAACACTATTAAGGATTTATCTATTATTAAGGGTTACTCCTCCCTGGGGCCGGGGCGCGCATACATGACCCCAGCGAGGGAAAGGGAAGAAAGGGAGCAGGTATTGTCGAATTAAGTTTTGACATTTCTGTAACCACTCGACCAGGACGATACACACGCGGAGGACATGCCATAGTCGAGAGAGTAGCAGTGAGTTGGCAACTATAGATTCTGCTTGGATAGAGAGATGGCGTTGTTTTAGTAGAGCAATATGGTGTAGAGATTATCCAAGAAAGATGCGAGCTGGTGTGGATTGTTGTACAATGGATACCCGAGGTATGTTAGCATTTGGGGTGAGGTGCTGTCGTGCCAGCGAGCGCCAAGCGTTTCAACGCGTGAGATCCACCGTTGATGAGCTTTTCCAGACAAAGAGAACACCACGGTTTTGTTGAGGTTGATGCGTCCATTGGATGCACGGCCGTATGTGTTGATGTGGGTCAGCAATCAGTCCTACTCGTCAATACCGTGTAGGAAGACCAAAAGGTCGTCCACATAGGCAAGTATTTTGATTGGTGGATACTCTCTTACTAGACTAATGGTGTGTAAATGAGTGCTGCTTCGAGGGGGGAGTGGCGCCAAGGGTGCTCCGAGTAGAAGGGAATCAGAAAGAAGGGAGAGAAGGAGGGGTTCAAAAGCAGTATTAAAGAGTAATGGGGAAAATGGGTCCCCTTGGTGCAAACCTCGAAGCTGACGAACTGGCTCAGAGAGCCAGCTGTTAAGAGAAAGAAAAATGGAGGTAGAGAAGAAGAGAGATACAATAGAGTCAATGAAAGAAAAGGGAAGTCCAAACCTTGCCATGGTTTGTTTGAGATACTCACTGTTTACCATATCATAAGCTTTTGTTTGATCGATTAATACGCCAACTGGTTCCTGTGTCGATTCAATTTTGTGCGCATGACTCATGATATTCTGCACCGTCCAGCCGTAGTCAGAAATCAAGTGGTTGGCGAGGAACCCAATCTGGAATGGATTAATGATCGTGTTCATCATTGGTTGTAAGCGATTTGCCAGTAGGTTCGTGAAGATTTTGGCGTCCGAGTTAATGAGGGAGAGTGGTCGCCAGTTGGACAGTAATTGTGGATCTCCTTTCTTGAAGAGTAAGATAATTCGGATTTTCATCCAAGAGTCCGGGAAAAGTTGTTCTCCAAGTGCTCCATTAAGTACAGAGAGAAGCAGCTGGATGAAGCCGTCGTGGGATGCGAGGTGGCGGTAAAGCTCAAATGGCAAACCATCAAGGCTAGGACTTTTTCCAAGTGGAGTGTGTTTCAACATGAGGACCAGCTCCGACATTGTGAAAGGGGTGGTTAGTCTGGTTTGTTGTGATTCAGAAAGCCGAGCGTCTTCCGGGACATTGCTGAGGAGGCTATCAATTGCAGGAGGTGATACCGGCTCCGGCGCGAACAGGTTGGTATAGAAAGACTGAGCATGGCGAAGGATATCCTCGGAGGTAAAGAACTGTGCGCCCGTGGCGGGATCACGCAATTGTTGAATAGTAGCTGTATTGTGGCGCTCACGTAGCACTCGGAAGAGATACTTGTTGTTACGTTTGCCTTCCTCGTGCCAGCAAGTAGCTGTGCGTAGCAATAATTGACGAGTTTTGGCTTCATTGATCTGGGCGATTTCTCGTTCAAGTGCTGGGAGGGTCGATCGAGAGGTGGGTGTTGGACTGAATAGGTGTTGTTGTCATTGGCGATGGAGAGCGGACAGGCGGTTCTTGGTATAGCGACTGAGCGAGCGACTGAATTAGAGAGCGGACTCCTTAATAACATTCTTGAGCTGGTCCCATTCCGCTTGTGGTGAGGTGGTGCCGTTGGAGGTATAGTCAAAGAAAGTTTTAAGAGACTCCCGCAAGAGTAACTGATAGTCTTCATGTTCGAGTAAAAGGGGGTTGAAACGCCATGTTTCTGGGCCACAGTTGATGTTGCGAGTCCTCAAGTCAAGCATGAGCATATCGTGATCGGTCCATGCTGGGTTGGTGAGTTGTTGCGTGGTTCGGATGATGTGGGAGCGTAGTGCCGTATGAGCAAACATATAGTCAATAGTCGTGCGGTGCTTCCCTCGTGAAAACGTAGGGGTAGCTGTTGGGGGTGATAAGATGTCGCTATCGTCTAGGTAAAGACAGTTGACGCAACGATCAAGCAGAAATTGTGTCCATGGGCGAATACCAGTAGGGACGGTTTCATGAAGGTGCAAGTTGAAATCGCCCACAATGATGGTGGAGTCCGTAAAAAATCTAAAACATGGCAAGGTAAGGAGAGAAGAAAAAAACTCTGGTCGACGGTGTGCATCCGCGTAGGCGTATATCACCACCAGACGACATAGAGCCCCATGTGAGGTACAAATATCGGAGACAATACAACATTGATCGGGGGTCACATAGGTATTAGAAAGAAAGTAAGAGGGGTTGAGGCAAACGAGCCCACAGTGTCTGGTAAAGCAAGAGGAAGAACGGGAAAAAATACAGGAAAGTTTTTATAAGTCATGGTCGGTTAAAGAGATGGAACGTGTGTGTGATACTTCCTATAGTGCGAGTATGTCTATATTAAGCGTTTTGGATCGTAAATGAGCAGTGAATTGAGACTGGGTTGTAGGGTTGGCCTCTTTAAGAATGCTGCGGGCATTCAGGGAGGCCACCCTTGCATAGTTGGTTACAATCTTTATAATCGCAGACCGGAAGAGGGTGGAGAGCTCCCTTCAGATATGGTGGCTAACGTCGAGCCACGTAGGTTGTCCTTGACTGTGGCTAGGGGATGCGTATCATTGCTGCTATGGTCGGTGTACTGAGGTTTGTTGTCGGTTCGTTGCTTCTTGGGATCTCGGCAGATCGACTCGTCTGAGTGTCGGGCGGGTTTTTCGAACTTATCGGCTTCCGTCATGTCACTGTCGTCACTGAAGGAAACTGAAACTGCTGGTCGTTGGTGTTCTGTCTGATCGTCAATATCTGCAGCGTGTGAGTTTGAGTCGACGTCGGCTGGTTCACAAGCTGTTGTGGTCGTTTCTGCTACTAGTGTTGGGGACTCAGGTTGCTGTTGTGATAGTGCAGAGCGTTGAGATGGTTGCTGCGATGCTGAGGACTATGCTCCAGGGTGTTGCTCGGGTTGTTGTTCAAAGGACGCCAGTAGCTCGTGCTCGTCCATTCTATCGATTCTGGCGCGTTGATCAGCAGCTTTTTTGGCATTGCAGCTGCATTGGTAATGTCCCGTTTGGCGACAGTAGTAACATTCGACAGGGTCCAACTTAGGACAGTCTCTGCCCCGGTGTCCCTCTTCTGAGCAATACCAGCAGATTAGGGGCAGTTTTTCCAGGAAGCCGGGAATTTTTGACCCCAATTGTCAAATTCAATGAAACGCCGCAGCGGCATGTAGTACGGGTTGCCATCGTCGCGCATTGTGTTGTCAGGAGGAGTGATATCAAGAATTACGGTTGCTTCACCTTCGAATATTCCAGTCTCGGGCAAGCATAGAGGCAATTTTGGCAGACTTTGCTGTAGTTTTCCATGTGTTCTGGAGTCCGGCCGACAGGGCCTCTGGAGATATAAATGGCAAGTATTTGAAATTTACCTTTACTAACTCAGCGTCTACGGAGACGGCCTTTGTTGCACGATAAGGCTGTGGGTGGTCCAGATATGTTACACCGTCGTTTATTGCTTTTAGTGTATCCTTGTAGTCAATGTAGCGAGCTTCGATGAGAAGAGGTGCCTCTGGATGTTGGGTGCGAGAAATAACCAATGCGCCATGCACTGGGCCTAATGTGGCGATCAAGCGATACGCTTCTGATTTGGACGGAAGGGCAGTGCCGAAGTCGAAAATGACAGCATCAACATTGAGGGCGCGGGCTAAGATGGTCTCTGCTTGGTGCGAACGGCGTGTTTCCTCAAATACATTGGCGGTGAAAATAGTGTCGCTCTTGTTGCGAACGACGTTGGCCCAAGACCTATGTCCTGTAGATCTGGGTAGACGATGAGTATCCGTCATCGTCAATACGAAGACAAAGGGTGACAGAGGAGTACTGAGTAAGGATCCGCATAGTTCGGTTCGGTTTTGTTCAAGGGAACCGGACCGAACCATACAAAGCAAAAACCGAACCGACTAGAACCAATGAGAACTGTAGAACCGAAGAATCGAACCGAAGAACCGAACCTGTCATGTATATAAAAAAGGCAAAATCAGGTATCTTTGAATGAAAGCTGATATGTGTGTGTTCAAATATCGCGGTATACCTGAATACTGCAGTAAAAAAGTATAGTTTACTACTGTACATTGAACAGCAATCTCAAAATGAATAAGAGAAACATAATGTAAACATTTTTTATACGATGTGGGTCATTGCATAGTTAAAAGATGAAAGCACAGTTTTTACAAAAAAAGTGGAACTCATAGTACTTAGAGCGACTTAGTATTGTACAATATGTTATCGTAATATTGGAGGAATGGAACCACAACCGGCAGTACACACAGCTGCTGTGTCTCTACGCGTGTATAATGTATAGTGGCTCAAAAAAGGCAAAGGGTGAACGGGTAAGATAACTCTGTTATGAGCCCCAGAATGCACAATCTTAAACGGAATGCACAAACTTGATAAAACTAGTTGAGAGGCCATGCTAAATCTAGTAAAGTAGTACGTCATAGAGAAAAATCCATTGTAGGTAGCAAAGTAGAGGGATAAGTAATGATGCGCGTCATGGGCCGCTCTGTTTCAAACCGAAGCTCTATGCCTATAAATTGCTTCAACAGATACATATGCTTACAGGGCGTGTGCCTACGCTGATAATCTTCACAGGTACATGATTCAAGGAGCATGGCATCGCTAACTACTACTTCGTATACCTCAGATGCTTGAGCCTAAAATGATTTCACTGTCCAAATACCTGCCATTGGGCTACTACTTTGTTCACCCTGAGGATTGTGGATCATTGCTGCAAGTACTTCGACGTCAACAGAAGATGCCAGGTGTCGACGGCGCGATAGCCCATTCTCCAATGGTCCCATGCGCCCATTGTTGCTTAATACACGGTCCTGTTCGCTCTTGAAAAATACTGGACTTCATATGTAAGGACAAAAAACAAACGGTCAAGTCTCTTGTTTCGTAAATGCTTAAGGTATACGGTCTTGAGTTGGTTGTGCCAGGACTCGATGAAGTTGTTAGTCATCATATGTCTTTTTGCAGGCTCAATATATGCAGATGCCCAGTATTGGATCTTGTGCTCAGGCAACCAATGAGCCTCAAAGTAGTCTTGGAAACCCTCTTGCACTTCGAACTCTGTCTGAAACGTTTAGATTGAGTGATAGAGCGTATCGACATCGTCTTCATGTAAAATTTCTTTTAGTGCTGTCATCATTCTAGCACGGTAATCTTGAAGCTCTTCTGCTGTGTGCGATGCATCCAAACGAACTTTGCTTTTCAGGTTGCAGTTGCAAGCTTAGATGATATGAAAGGCGTAGTAGTGAATCGTTGCAGCAGGGAGCTCAGATTGGATTACATTGACTTCAGGGATGCTGCAGTCAATGGTTATATGCTCAACATCCATTTGGCATGTCTGGTGAAGAAAGCATAGCCATTGATGGATTGGGCCAGCTGAATAATCGTTCGTAAACATGTATGCAACTAGATATCTGCGTCTGGTATGTGGATCACATGTCACAATGGTGTACATAATGTCAGCAATACGTGCAGTGATCTTGTAGGTGGCATCTATGCGAACTGTCCACGACTACTGAAGCTGGGCGAGTTGGTTCTGTGATAGGAAGCCAAGCGAGTAAGTGTTAACATTGCTTGTATATTCAGCTGTGTTGCTGCAATAAACGATATAACTATCTTGTATAAGACGTTCATCCAGCCATTTTTGTACTGAGATCATATCGTTTGGATAGAACTCGTACAATTGGTCTTTCAACTATAGATATATGTTACCGACTAGGTAGCATTTAGCCAAGAAACCTAAGCCCCGGCCTAGGTTGTACAAAGCTTATTAGGCCGAGCAGTATATAAAGGCTGGCTGGGCTGGGAAAATAAAAAGTAACCTCTTTTCCACTGAATCATGCACTGACCTGGATAAACGTTCCCTGTAGACAAGACCCTAGTCTATAACACTTGGTAGCGGAAGTTTCGATTCATCAATCAACAGTCAACAAGTTATAAGCAAGCTAGCAAGAGCACGTGCAAGGACAAGGCAAGCTGAACGAACAAGAACAACGTCAAGAAATAAAGCAATTCTGGTCAAGCTTTCTATCAACACCAGCAGACCAGCTATTGGAGAAATTTGCATCTCAGAACTAAGAGAAGAGAGTGCAAAACCCACATACTGGAATAGACTCTTCTAGTCAAGCAAGTACCAGTAAATAGATTATTAGCCCTAAGCCGACACAGTCAACGTCGACTAGGAACAGGTATTTCGACGCAAGTGAAGCCATAGAGCAAGAAGTTCTGGACCACGAAGTAGCTCCCAGCAATATGAAAAACCTAAAGGAAGTAGAACAAGTTCCCTCATTGAACACAAGTATTATGAACGAAGCACAAGAAAAACCTATACCCATGGACCGAGGTGCTGAGCCCCACCACATGGGTGACACAGCGGCACTAGCCCTACAAGAAGTACACCAGCTCTGGGACCAGCTCAATACTCAACTCTCATCAGAAATGCATAAGGTCTATGTTACCCAGGACAAGATTCAAGAACAAGTAACGACCTTGTCGTCTACTATGTCGCATGTAGTGAGCAAGTTACAAGAGATCACAGCAAACTAAGAAAGGTGACACAAGTAATGTCAGACAAGGCGCACAGATCCCACGGTCAGGGCACCCGATCTACACAGGCATATGATGATCCTTCTGACTCCGATAAGGACTCATCTTCATCATCTGATGATGATGCCTCGGACCCCAAAATGGAACAGGTGAACAAGTCCTCAGATGAAGACTCCACTAGTGAGGGTGACAGTAAGCAAGGATCCCACTCACACTCACGCAGCCCATACAAGTTCAAGCCACCAGAAGAAAAATACTCAGGTAGCCCCTACAAGATCGAATCCTGGCTATTCAACCTCGAGGAGTATTTTACCAAGGCCAACATCAAGAAGACTATGTGTGTCGCCATCGCAACAAGTCAAATGGTAGATGATGCGACCCTATGGTGGCGTATGTTGAGACAAGCAGACCAGGCCTCTAAAACATTGCATAAATTTTCAAGAAGGCGATTCGTGAACGATTCTTACCATTGAATGTCTATAACACCAATCGCCAACAACTCGAGTCCTGTCGCCAAGTTGGTAGCGTAACCAAGTACAACTCGGCATTCCAAGCTGCATTTGTTGAGTGCACTGATCACCATGCGAAAAGTCCAATATCAAGGGCTTTTGAAAGACCTTGATATTTGTATATAAAGAGGCAAGGTGTGCCCCCAAAGAAGTTGGGGGGTTTTCAGAGAGTGGATGCAGTAGTTATGCATGAAGTTTCTGTTTGTATATGTAAGCTTACTATATTGGTCCAAAAAGCTCCCAGTATATGCAATAGCTGCAAGAACTAGGGGTCGCAATCTGACCCACGGGTCAAAACCGACCCGCGGGTTGAGGACGGGTCAACGGGTCGGGTTGATGCTTTTCTGACCCGCGGGTCAACCCGTCTAACCCTTGACCCGACCCGTTGACCCGTTGTGACCCGTGTATACATATGATATCTATGAGGTACTTGTAATCAAGTAGTCAATCTTCTTGTTGGAAAGGATCATTATATTAGAGATGTAGTTGTCAATATGTCTGCTATAGAACTGTAACATAAAACGTACTTATATTCTTTTTCATTGTGGGATCATATTTTATATTCAAAAGTGTAAGATAAGTAAGCTATAAGCAATATATGTAATAGTAGTAAAGAAGTAGCAAAGTAAAGAAGTAGCAATAGTACAATGAGAATAGACAATAGAGAGTGGCAGTGAGAGACGAGATTTGACAAAAGACGTAGAAGAAATTAAGAAAAGAGAAATGAAGAAGAAGGAAGAAATGAAAAGAAAAGGGAAAAGGATTAGGGGCATTTAAAGGAAGTCGATTTTTAACCACACTTTAACCATTATGCTTTCTTTAATGCATGTGAGCGCAAACGATTTCTTTTGTTATGGCACAAACCCTTTACCTTTAAGAATAATCACACAAAACGTAGATATTGCTAGCACTGCTAGGAATTTGCGTGCCATCATCTTAGAGAGCTGTGTATACATGTAGTTTTGCACTTCCAGTGCTCAAGCTCAGGTTGATTGACACCTCCTTTGTCACCAAATCAAAATCAGTAGTGACCCGTCAACCCGAGTTTTGACCCGTCGGGTTGAACGGGTCGGGTCGGGTCAGTGTTTTCTTGACCCGTGGGTCAACGGGTCAGACCCTTGACCCGACCCGACCCGTCCAATTGCGACCCCTAGCAAGAACAGAACTTCATGTTAGTTACTCAATACTACATCGGATGAAGCACTCCAAGTGTATGCTTTCGTTACAAAGAGAAGTCTTTTATGAATTTTTCTTCACGTACACCAACATGCACCATTCTATGTACCTAAAAAAAAAGTAACGGGTCTCGCACTACCACTGTTCTGCATCCTCATAATCCCCCTACAACCCTTACTTCAAAAGATCATGTGTACTTTTCATACTGCTCTCTTACAAACATATGCAAAGTGCCGAAAAATGCCGCTCTCATATATATAATTTGATGTTATGCCGAAACCAGTTGCATTCAAAAAAAAGGTTGCTACAAGGCATTTTTATATATTAAAACATTCTCAGCGTATTACAAAGCAGTACATGTTTTACGATGCTGATCGAATGCGTTTATTTTTTTTTCATTGTTGTGAATAACCAATGCGATTAAGTAGAGATTTGAAAATTTAGGGACAGTGTAGGAGCAACAACCCCTGAATTATTTAAGACGACCCCATTTATAGGAAGCTTTTTCTTATATAAAAGTGAATTCTTTTGAGGTTAATCTTTTATCTACATTCGCTTTTTTGTTGATGCATAATGGCAAGCAATAGACGTATGGTTGCTTGCTACTGTCGAGACGTGCAGCAGGTCAAACCCACGGGGTTATGAGTTGGTGACAAAACAAGTACGTCAAAACCACGATGAGCGTGATCACGTTGTACTAAGAGGCGAGACACAGCAGGATGGTATTTTATAAGCTACTTTTCCAAGCATCAGTATGGTAATAATGATATTTGACTTCGAATATAGTGGCTAGTATGATCGCTCTCTATGAATCCTTGAGCAATAACATGTCCCGATCATCAGTTGGCAATGGCGTAACCATGGATAGTACTAGTGAATCCAGTGTTTTGCCACCACTAGCAGGCAATTCTAACGCGGACATGGACGATTATGGTGATGATACGATGGATATTGATGATGGCAACCCCCCTTCTCCTATTCATCTTTCATCTCCGGAGTCCTTTTCACTTCCTTACCCTCGTCCTCAAGGTATGATAAGTTGTTGAGTAGAATTGTTGATAGATCGACTAATAACGAATTATCTCTGAATGTAGCTGTCAATGCCAACTGCAGAATACCTCTCGACATTGAGGATAACATATTCGAAAACGGTGGTGATAGCGATAGTGAGACTGTGGTTGGTGCTCATACTCGTGTATTGGATGCGGACGACATTGAGTGGGGGTACAGCAACGAGGAAGACGATATAGTCGATAT